ACCCAAAAGCTCATATTTTAACCATTTGCAGCAACCAGTTTCATTAAACTCCCAAGCACTTCCAAGTATTTACCAATTTACAGCTTTAATTCAGAACTTGCTCATGAATCTAAGAACCAACTAACAAAAAAAAAAAAAAAAAAAGCAGCAACGTGAACCAATTGCCCCTATCTAAAGAGTTTAAGCAATTACCAAGACTGAAATGGAGCTCAACAAAGCTGAATCATAGGTCCAAGGTTGCAGCAAAGTGGAAGGGGCAAATGAAAGAACGTTGAGAAAGAATTCATATCATTAACATCATTTGGAGAGAATGTAGAAAACCTGAATCTTAATCCTCCTCCACCAAGTAGCCAAAGATGAGAATAGATTGAGATGAGAGGAGTAAACTTGCATCAGCAACAGCAAGTACCCAGATTACAGTAGCTGCAAAATTATCTCATATCGAAAGCTTTGTATTTTCCATGAAACTCAACAGTTACAAAACTCAAAGAAATAAAAAGCTACGAAATAATCACATCATTCCAAAGAGAGCTGCTTACAACATGATGCTCTCAAATTCTGTCGATTCAGCTTGGGTTTTTCAAATCACCCCCATAAGTATTCTCAGCCTACATACCTGTTGGTGAACATAGCCTCTTCAGCATTAGCCAGGCACTATCTGCATCTGATCCTAACAATTCATTGCTTATTGATCAAATTCTGCAAAAAACTTTTCTCTATCATAGCAAGCTATTGCCTTCCAGAACTTTTCTTCAAAGAGCTACACAAAGAGATGGGGTGTTATCTGTAGGCAGAAACACATTTGAGGCAACGTGGCAGCGGGCAAGGGAGAAGAAGCACAGAACCGAGAAAATAGAGAACCAAAAAGTCAAGAAAGAGAAGGTCATAAAGAAGACCTACCAGGCGCAGCCGTCGTCGTTCCTTGTTCATTACCGTCGTCATCCCCAACCTTGTTTTCCTCTCTGTTTTCAAACTCGACTTCGTCTGAGTGTTCAACACAGAACCTGTTCCTAGGACGACAACGTCGTGTTCATCGGTCAAAGCTTACCTAAACAGGGGATCTATGGAAATGAGAGAGCGATGTAGCCAGAAGGATTCAGACGAAACTGGGTTCTAGAAAGGTACCTTAGAAGCCGACCACCATTATCGTTTTCGTTGCTCGTTCTTCGATCCAAAGATGGGATTGGGCTTGGGAAAGAGGAATGGCGGCTTCGGATCTTGGCGTGCCGAAGCTAGTTGCAGAGCCGATTGCCCCCATTGAAAACCACTTTGGGATGGGGAGATTTGGAGAATGGTGGTGAGAGGATAGAGTCTTAGAGGCAGAATTGACGGGTGAATGGACGTGATCTAGCAGAGGGAATCAGTGGCAATCAATTGTACCTTAATCAACCATTGAGCAAGGCTAGGGCTGTACGATTCATGGCTGGTGGCGTGTGCCAACAGATGCGGTGGCGTGTGTGAGGAAAGACGAAGACCAGAAAACTTGGGAAAGCTCAACGGCATGGCCGCCTGCCGGGACTGAGGGAAGGTAAGGCAACGTTGGGCCGGGCAACGCCTCCCATGGAAGGCACTCTTTCACTCATCGCCACAAAACGACAGAAAGTGAAACAGTAAACAAAACATTGGGAGAAAAAGCGTACCTAGCTTTTATTTATTAAAGAAAGAACTTGTAGTCCTGATACTACAAGGAGAGGAAAAAGTTACCTTGTCCGTATTGGGTAAGGAATATCCTTCCTATTTACTTTTGGAAACCGGCTGATGGTACTCTATATAAACACTTCCTAACACCACTATAAGGAGTTTCTGGGGCAGAACCCCCTTAGATGCTGTTTTCCTGCGCTGTGCGCAATTCACGGAAGGAGCATTGTGTCAATTCCCCGTATAAGCCCATTGATTCCTGACGTGGCGAGGGAGATGATCGATAGTGGAACGGGAACGGGCAGGCTCCGCCGGGCCTGCTTAGTGGGATCGCGGACTTCGTGAAGTATGGCAATGGGCCGGGTAACTGGGCCGGCCCGGGAAAGGGTGACAGGTGGGTTGAAGATTATGTCGTGACGGCGGGCGAGGTTCTTGGATTACTGCGAGCTGAATCACAGCCAAGGCCCAAGAGCCAACTCACCGCTCGCGTCTCCAGCCGCCAACTCAGAGCCCTGTTAGAAATCGAACCTCACCGCGGAGACCCTCGAGCGCTCTCTTCGCCTTCCTCATCAACCGCGAGACTCAGAGCCGTGTTGGAAATCGAACCTCACCGAGACCCTCGAGCGTTCTCTTCGCCTTCCTCAGCAACTGCGGGGCCGCATCTCTGTTTTACTACGTTGTTGAGGAAGACAGCAGAGCCTGTTATTGTTCATGCTCTGCAGTACCGGCTGGGTCTTTTGTCGGGGCAGAATTGATATTTGATTGATCCATTTGGGGCGTTTTGGTTAGAGTGATTTTGTAGCTTCAAATTGATAACAATATCATCACTCGAAGACAATAGCAGCAGACCAGTCTTTCTTCCACCACTCAAAGACAATAAGTGATTTACAGTAAGGTACAACTCTAATCCTTTTTCGTTGGTGAGTTATGAAGTCATAGAACTCAAATTCCACACATATATATTACAAATCAGGTTGTAGGTTCATGTTTGTTTTCTTTGGTTCGATCACATAATTAAGACAAAGTTTGTTTATGTGAAAGGGTACAAAAGAGAGTGCTTATGGTTGTTAGGGATGACAATTTACCCACCCATGGGTAATTTTGCCCAAACCCAAGTAGACCCATTTATTATGGGTAGGGTTTGGGCGATGTGAGTATGGGTTTGGGGTTTGTATATGGGTTTGGGTTAGATATAGATATTATCTAAATGGGTATGGGTTGGATATGGATATCCATTTACTTGAGGGTGTTTTAACTACACATGCAAAAATTGGACTTATTTGTAAAACTTGAAAAGTTTAGGTACAAAAATGTAAGACCAAAAAAATTTAGGTACCAAAACGTAATTTTCCATTGATATTTTGAGGACTTATATGCAAAAAAAATTAAATTTAGGTACTAAATATGCATACCTATTAAGTTTATGTACCAAACTGTAATTTGTATTTGGGCATGGGTACAAACCCAAATCCATTTGTTATAAACCCAACCCAACCCAAAGTAAATGGGTATGGGTACAAACCCATCAAACTTTACCCATATTCATATATTTGGATTTCATACCCAACCCAATTGGATTGGATAGTAAAATATCCATGGGTATGGGCAAAATTGCCATCCTTAATGGTTGTTTATGTGAACCCTTCCTACATCAGATCAGATAAAAAGCTTTCTGTTTGCTGAATTATTCTGTTTTCTGATTGTATTTGCTGCATTTTTCTGATAAGCTGATTGTGTGTGTTGTCCATTTTGTGAACTTGCAGTCACATTAAACCGAGGTTTATTGGGTTCTCATGATTTATCTTGGGTTTAATTGAACTAAAGGGTAGCTGTAAGAAATCACTAGAGACCTTAACTAAAGAAATGCCGCTTTTTCTACCAAAACAGCATATTAAACTAATGAAGAAAGCAGGGGTCTGTAGTATTTGCCAACTTGGAGGGATCCTAAAGCACATTACCCAAACTACAATCCCTAGATTCAAACCCGTCAACACATGGAAAAAATACTAAAAATAATTAAAAACTAATATACACTATATGAAGACTAATGTTACTCAATAACTAAAATAAATACATCAGTTTATTCCGAGAAATAAACTCCACGGCAACAGTGGAATTACTTTATTTAATAGGAATACAAATAAAATATTATCCAATTTCAATCCCATTCCTATACTACCACTGACATAATAGACGGAGGACTGTCTCACCAAACTATTATATAAACATCTGGAGATACCCTGCCAATTCCATCGACCGCCTCCAACCTTTCTTTCAAGAGAAGCAATTGGAAGCAATTCATCTGCATTGTTCCCATGATCCCATCATAGCTGCAACTTTACAGGTACGGTAATTAGTTTCCCCAATCCACACAGTTATTCCACATGTTCATTCATTATTATCTTACAAATTATTGCATTCTCTTTTCTCTTTCGATACAGCTTCTACTGCCGCTGCACTCTCACTTTCACACACAGGTTATTAATCAAATTTTACCGAATTTATTTTTTTCCCGCTCGCAAGTTCAATACGATGATAACATCCATATTTATAAATGCTAATAATATTGTTTATTACTGTTATTTAAATTACGCAAACCCTACATTATAATAGTGCTTAATTCATTATTGTGAGTTAGACCCATATATATTATGAAGAATACAACTTAGTTTGACAGCTGTTTTATTTGAAGGTCAGGCAATATGCAATCCCAACTGATCTCCGATCTGACAACTGAAAAGAGGGACTGGGTTCTGCAATGTCGCGTTTCGAGGAAGTGGCTGGCAATCAATCCCAACACAAATGTTGTACTTCGTCTTGATATGATAGTCATTGACTCAAAGGTAAACAATAACACAAACTCAAACTCTATGATTCAAGTCTTGGACAATTATTGATACGCCTACTTTTTCCCAGGGTAATGATATTTGGATACAGATTCCCAAAGTGATAATCAAAGACTTCGAACCCCTGTTTCGTGATCAAAGAGTCTACACTATCAAGAACTTTAAGGTCAATATGACGATGGGAGATTTCAGGCCAATTCCAAACAGATTTGTCATCAAATTCCAGTCAAACACCGAAGCCCAAGCTTGCGATGACATTCCAGCCATACCAGCTTACAAGTTCTATTTCATCAAACAAGATGAGATTGCCAATAAGTGCAACAAAAAAAAAAAAAACCTATCAGGTTAAAAATATCATTCTCAATGCAAATTTCCCTTAATTTTATGTATGTACAACCAAATTTAATAACTACTAAATGTTCTCATTCCATAGATGTTGTTGGCGAACTCATGTTCTGCTCAGATTTACTTACAACTACTAGACTAACTGGAAAAGTTTCCCACAAAGAGCTGCATCTAAAAATTCCCGAGTATGTACTTCTTTTAGCTTTCTGTTTCAAATAATAGAATACGTTAATCTACTTCTAAGTGCAAATCTAACATAATTTTTTTTACAGAGGATTGGTTGTCAAAGTAACTCTCTTTGGTAGAATACTTACCCAATTGAATGCCATACTTGCAAATTCGGGTGATCGTCGTCCCATCCTGGTCATTACATCAACATATGTCACTCCTTTCAAAGGTAAACAAGCATCTAAATTACCTTAATTGTAATCCATGCATTTTCATATCAATAATACCAACTTAATTAAATAATCGTCTGTTTCTCCTCTCTCTCTCTCTCTCTCTATATATATATATATATATATATATTTGCAGGAGAGAACACCTTCACCTCAACTGGGGTGACCTTGCTGCTGGCGAATCCAAGAATTCCAGAAGTCATCAATTTTGTGCCAAGGTGAACTCACGATCCACAATTTTATTATCGTATTTGGTTGCGTTGTAAGTTTCCCGCTTTAAAAATTCAAAAAGATCCATTACCTTCGTTTTTTGTGAATATAGTGACGGCGATGCACCAATTCCTCCAGTCAATGGAACAAATATAACCAAACAAATAATCCCATCCATATCACTAGATGAACTCAATCAATTGAAGATGAAAGATGGAGAGGAGGTACGTATCGTTTTCAATTAAACAAACTAATAGTGATCAAATGCTAACAATTCATATAATATGCAGGGAAATATCTATTCCGTCAAATGCAAAGTTATCAAGGTTAAGAATGGGTGGTGCTATGCTAGATGTGGAACCTGTCCACAAAAACTTGAAGAAGAATCAGATGAGTACTTCTGTGGGACCTGTATGACGACGTTAAAGACCACAGCATCAAGGTAATACGATACTTATTAATATCAAATTGTTTTCTATATCCTATTCACTACACAATGTAAAACGTTTCGATAATAATATGAAGAGCTACTGCACCGCCGATTTATTCCCAATTGGACTGCAATTCGTGTTGTACCAAATTTCACCCTTTCACAATTTATCATTATTGGCTTGCTCTTTCCTGTTCAATTACTGCTTGCTTTGGTTTCTTTAATTTCACGTGGTTCTGCTTTTGGTTTAATTATTTTTGTGTTTAGCTTTTTGGATTTGGAGTTATAACCATTTCTTATTTTTAATTCTTCAAAAACCCACTTACTGCCCCATTTTCATCCCTGCATTGCATGCCTTCCTTTGGTATTATATACAATATCCGTAGCTACATATGATAAGATTATTATTATATAACATAAAAATTTCATTTTTGATTTTCTATATTTACACACTTCCGACACTAAAATTGTGCTTCTTTATGTTATTACAATTCTTATATAGATTCAGGATACAGCTTCGAGCCGCGGACAAAACAACTCAAGCAGACTTTGTTGTTCTAGATCGAGAGAGTGATCGATTTTTTGGTATATCTGCTGAGAAACTATTCCAAGACAACGATCGAATGAGAGGACCACCACCTGCTCATCTACTACAAATTGAGGGAATGACGCTGAAATTCGACATCAAACTCACTGATTATAACATCGCAAACCCAACAAGTGAGTACACAATTTGGAAAATAGGGCTGGAGGATGATAACAATAACTCAAACGATCACCCCGAATCAATTGAGGTAAGTCCAACTAGCGTGAAATTATATTCACCTTATTTACAATAATGCATTATAACCAACACGATTTGGAAATTCTATTCAAAATGAACCCTCTAATTATAATTTAATTACAATGCCATCTCAAGTGCTCATACATTGATTTTGCAATGCGTTTAATTTTATAGCTTAAAATAGTGCAACATTCCTTTATTTCCTATTCACTTGCATGTTGCTGCATACTTCAATATATAAGCATCATATATACGTCTTCACTTACCAAATATTATGATTTTATGATTCAATAAAACAACAAATGTGTTTTGTTTTTTAATGGCAAAAAACTAATATCATTATCCTAATTATGCAGGAGATCGAAAATGGCATTGGCAATGATGCGGTGGCTAGAATCGGTGTAACAAATGATGATGCTCTTGAGAAGAATGTGGAGTCTCCTGATATTGAACCAAAACAGAGGACTAATGGAGAAGAAGACTACAATACCGGTGGAGATGATGATGTTGCTAATGACAAAGGAAATGCAAACAAGCTAAAAAGAAAACATGGAGTGATAGTCTCTGACAATGAGGAACAAATAGAATGATTAGCGAAAGCAAATTAGGAGTCGGTCCCCTGGCATAGGGTTTCTATATTCTTTTTTCGGAAAATAATTTTACTCAATGAGTCGATTAGTATATTCGGAAAATACTATGATTGTGTGGTTAAAGTTTTTTACTGTTGCACTTTGTTTACATTTGGAAGTGATAAATTTTCATTACAATTAAAAAGCAAGTTTTTAAACACATACATGACAACACGTTAATCACAGTATTATTTTTAAACTTACAAGTAAATGGTATGTTATTAAATTATCCATTGAATTCATTTGGAAGGGGTATAATCATTTTACGGGATTTAATTAATACAAAAAAAAATATTATTTATGCTATGATTTTAAAAGTTAATGTTGATGCTAATTGGTGGAATCAAGTAATTTTTTTTTATATTTGACGGTAAATGTGCTATTTAAATATTTTTAATTATTATTTTATTCAAAATGTCGTATATAATTTAAATATTAATATGAGTTGTAAGAAAATAATTTGAATTATTTAACGCTACTAAGAAATTAAAATATTAAATATTTTCATATACCTTTATTTCTAAATATACTACCTAATAAACACAAAGCTCCCATCTAAATTGCTATTTCTATTTACACGATTGGCAAATGAATCCGGCCAATCGGCCGGGCCTGTGACTAGTTCAGAGTATAGAGTAATAGAAGATTAACCCATACGAATCAACATGTCACGAGCTATGATGGATTCAATGCGAGAACTCCAAAAGAACTTAGGCAGCAAGGGAAGAGCGCTTAATAACATGATGATGATCAAGCCAAGGTCTAGTAGTATGATTACTCACCTGGGAATGCGATCAATGATCGCCACTATTAAGTTCGTGGTGTCTCTTTTGCAACAGTTTTTCCGGTACCAACTCCAAGGCACTGTAGAGAGATACTGCCAGAGGGCTCTCTACATGGTCTACCCTTACGTCACGATCACTTTCAATGAACTCAAGGCCAACCGGCTATCTCGCCCTGAACTCTACTCCGCCATTGAGAGCTATCTCAGCTCCCATTCATCCACGCAAGCCAAGCGGCTGAAGGGCGAGTTACTCAATAACAACTTGTCCAAGGTGGTGCTTAGCGCAGACGAACATGAAGAGATCACAGATGAGTTTCAAGGGGTCAAGCTATGGTGGGTATCCGGGAAGACCATCGCCAACACCGTAACACTTTCTGCCCAAAATGATGAGAAAAGGTATTACACGCTGACTTTCCACAAGAAGCACAGGGATCTCGTCGTTGGACCATATTTGAGCTATATCATGAAGGAAGGACAAGCAATTAAAGTTAGAAACCGGCAGCGGAAGCTTTTTACTAACAATGGTCCACAGTGGAGATATGTAATGCTTGAGCATCCTGCAACATTCGAAAATCTTGCGCTGGAGGCAGACAAGAAGAACGAAATTCTTGAAGACTTGATCACGTTTAGCCAAGCGGGAGAGTACTATGCGAGAATTGGAAGAGCTTGGAAGAGGGGTTACCTTTTGTATGGTCCTCCGGGGACTGGGAAGTCCACCATGATCGCAGCCATAGCCAATCTTCTCAGCTATGATATCTTCGACCTTGAATTGACATCCGTGAAGGATAATGCCGAGCTGAGGAAGCTTCTAATTGAGACAACGAGCAAATCTGTAGTTGTAATTGAGGACATTGATTGTTCTCTGGACCTCACTGGTCAGCGGAGGCAGCAAGCAGAGGTTGCGAAACAGAAACCAACAAGGGAAGACAGTGAGCCCAAACTAAGCTTAGTCACCCTTTCGGGACTTTTGAACTGCATTGACGGGCTATGGTCAGCTTGCGGAGGAGAAAGACTGATCATTTTCACGACCAATTATGTCGAGAAACTCGACCCAGCTCTCATCAGGAAAGGAAGAATGGATAAACACATTAAACTTTCATACTGCAGCTTCGAAGCGTTCAAAGTGTTGGCAAAGAATTACCTTCTGCTAGATGATCACCAACTCTTTGACAAGATTCGCCAGTTACTGCAACAAACTCAGATTACCCCGGCTGATGTTGCAGAGCATTTGATGCCCAAAACTCACCCCCCGAATCCTGAGGTGTGCTTGAATAGTCTGGTGAGGAGCCTTCAAGCGGCTGCAGTGAATGCGAGACCCAAAGCTGCTGCAGCCAATGCGAGACCGAAAGCAGATGCAGTGAATGTGAGACCGGAATCGGAGAAAGAACTGCATCAGGAGACTGCTGCAGTGAATGCGAGACCAGAAGAGGCGAAAGAACTGCATCAGGAGAAAGAAACCACTGTGTGTTCAAAAAAAAGGAAAGGAATCACTGACCTTGAAGAAACAAAAGAAGTAAACAAGGGAAGCACCGGACAAAAAGGAATGACACCCCAACCAGGATTCACGGGTATTCTAACTGACCCTATCCGATCAATGCAGGTAATGCCTGCTTTGCCCGGATATGGGTACGGGTATTATCCGGTGCAAAATTTGGCGGGTAGGGTAGGGTATGCGTTGGGTCAATACCCGATTCAGACTGTACCAATACCCGTATCCGCTCCCAAAACCATGTAATTAAGCAAGCAGCACATGTAGTTTCTTATCTCTTACTGCCCATTGTCTGCCAGTCTGAAAATGTAGTTGACATGCATATTACATTGCAATTAAAAACGTAAGGATGTGGGCCTCCTAACTTAGAAATGCCATTTGCAATAACATGACAGTTCTTTCATTTTACCGATTAATTTCGTTTAGTAAATTTTATGCATATGATTCTAAGTTACACTCGATGAGCATGGTTAAACTCTGGGTTTGTTGAATATTATTTTCGGGATCTGGTCAGCAAGTGGAAGGGAGATGTAATAAAATTTACGAAGAACCATGTTGAGATGCTGGACAAGGCATTGATCAGGGGAGGAAGGATAGATAAGCATAACGGAGCTTTGTAACTATGATTTAAAATGGTTTAAGGTTCTTGCTAAGAACTACCCTAGCGTTGACACTTGACAATCACCCCACTGTTTGAGGTCGTTCGAGGTCTACTCGAGAAGACCAAGAGTACCCTGCTGATGTAGCTGATAGTTTGATGCAGAAGGCTGTTAAAGAACATGCCGAAATTTGCCTGAATAGGTTCACACCCATGACCTCGACAGGCTGCCAAGTTAGAAAGGGGAAGAATGAAGCAGATAAATAAGATGAGATATTAATGATTGAACAAAAGAGAAGAATGATTGGAAGAGGTATGTTTGGCATCAATAGTTTATGATCATGTTTTTGGTTAAGTATTGTGTCAGTGTTTTGAAACTACAGAAACCTAATTCTGGCTTTATTCATTTAGGATTCTTTAGTCAGCTAAAACTAATACCGGCAAAACAGTTCGATTTGGTTAATCTCGAAACCGGAAATGTTTTATAGCACTTTCTCTTACAAGGATAATGATTAAGCAAAACCGTTAAAGGATCTCGAACAGTTTGGTTTTGGTCAGGAGCAAGTGAAACCGTCTAACGGTTTGGCACGGGTATGCAAATATAATTCACTCTCGGGCACGAAGTGTTTCGGCTTACATAGTTTCTAGTACTTTTGTGGTTTCGACAGAACTGATTAGCACATAAATGATTGAAGCCTATAAGAAAGCCAATAAGGGTACCTAACCTAACTGGGCCAATTTTCAGTTAACAAGAAAATCAAAAGCGGTTTAGCGCCCCCAGCTAAACACGATCATCTTGTCTAATTTTGTTCTGAATTAATAATACTCTAATTCTTGATTTGCCCTTAATGTTAGAGGGAGCTTATCGTCCTAATGTTAATAGAAAAAAGTGACTAGTCCTTATCAGAATACAATTCACCATAGAGATAGAATTCCTCTATGGTTCATGAATACAGTAACCTATTAAGAAATACATTCTTCCTCTCCTATGTACTATGGAAATCGGCTAATGGTGCTCTATATAAACCTTTTGAGTATCAATAATAAAAGATCCCCCATTAATCAACATGGCAAAAGCTAAGAGTTTAGTAAAATCGTTTCACAGGACGAACCCATGGAATGGTTTTACTCACCTGGGATCGTTAATCGCCACTTTGATGTTCGTTTGGTCTCTTGTTCGACAGTATAGAAAATTACTGCCGTACCAACTCCGCGTCATTCTAGAGAAATACTGCCAGAGGGCTCTCCCCTTCGTCAACCCTTACGTTCAAATCCGTTTCAGTGAACTCTGCAGCGAAAATCTGATGCGCACTGAACTCTACTCCGACATCGAGAGCTACCTGGGCTATCATTCATCAACGCAGGCCAAGCGCCTGAAGGCCGATTTACTGAAGAACAGTCAGTCCAAGCTGGCGCTTAGCGTAGATAGTTCTGAAGAGATTGCTGATGAATTTCAAGGGATCAAGCTATGGTGGGCTTGTGGGAAAACCATGTCCAGTACCGGATCACCTTCGCTCCATAATAAGACAAGGTATTACAGGCTGACTTTCCACAAGCAGCACAGGGATCTCATCATTGGGCCGTACCTGAGCCATGTCATGAAGGAAGGGAAAGCAATTAAGGTTAGAAATCGGCAGCGCAAGCTTTATACTAACAACGGCCCATTTTGGAAACATGTGGTGTTTGAGCATCCTGCAAACTTTGAAACGCTTGCGTTGGAAGCAAAGCAGAAGAAGGAAATTCTTGAAGACTTGATCACCTTTAGCCAATCGGAAGAGTATTATGCGAAAATTGGAAGAGCTTGGAAGAGGGGTTACCTTCTGTATGGTCCTCCGGGGACTGGGAAGTCCACAATGATCGCAGCCATGGCAAATCTTCTGAACTACGATATATATGACCTTGAATTAACATCCGTCAAGGATAATGCTGAGCTGAGGAAACTTCTAATTGAGACAACGAGCAAATCGGTGATTGTGATTGAGGACATTGATTGTTCTCTTGATCTTACTGGGAAGAGGAAGCAGACGAAGGTAAGACAAGAAGTAGAGGTCCTGAAGCTCCCGAAGCTTACAAGGCCGAAGGATCTTACTGACAGAGAGCCTAAACCAAGCCAAGTTACTCTTTCCGGGCTGTTAAACTTCATA